TTTTTCCCTTATTATCGTCAGACCCGTCACGGTGGTACTGCTGTACAGTAAAATCCAAAAGTTCGCTTTTTTCGTTCGTCTGCTGCTAGATGGTGGACACATTTTCGTCACCTCGATTTACCCCATTTTTTTTCGATTTAATTTATTTAGGTTTTCCATTTTTGTTCTTCTGCTTTTCTCTTCACGGTTCTGATGTGATGGTCATCTTTTCTTTTCCTCTCTTCCTGCAGCTTTGACCTGCAAAATCATAATTTTATTTACTCTCACTCAGGAGGGATGTATACTCCTTAATTCTGCTCGGCAATCATTATCAAAGTTTTGGTCCACCGTATGTACCAAGGGTGCCCTGGGGGACCACAATTCTTAGTAAGTGAGAGTCAGACTGAGGAGTAGTAGCAGAGTAAGTAAGTAAAGACTAGAGATGCATGGTCTCCCATTGGTTGAAGTGGATAAGCCACCCCCCCTCTCATCCGCACAAAGCCCTCGTCGTTCATCCCAACTGCCAGCGCTTGCTATTTCCCACACAAACCAAACCTCAACCCCGGCAATGGCTTAAACGGCAGCAATTAAGCTCCAGTGACAACTTGGTTGACAGTCTCACATACTCCCCCCCCCCCCCATGAACCATGATTCCGAACAAAGCTGGGAAACAGCTGCGAGTTGAGTTGAACCCGGTCCCTGCTCCTACGGACTTTCGTCAGTTCCTGCATTAGCGCCACCAAAGCATCCAAAGCCGATTTTAGCTCTTCCCAGGGGGAAGGTTCCTTCTGGGCAGATCCGGGCAACTCAATGGCCCCGAGCGTGGCCACCAAGACACGCCGTCGGCAATAGTAGATTGTTGTTCACATCTCTTTCATCATTTTATTTATTTTTCCTTTGGGGTGGAAGGGGCCCCAAGAGAGCGGGTTCTCCCACGCGGACGGAGTATCTAAGCTCTGCAACATCACGTCTTTCCCGACTGAGGAAAGCTTGCGCTAGAATCTCTCCTTCTTCACCCATGACCTTTTGACTCCCCGATCACGGCGGTCGGGGACCACGCCATCAGTGGGGCAAGTTCGTTTGAAAGGCGGCGTGAGAAAGTGAGCCATGAGATGGATCGCTGAGCCCACCGCCCACTTGGCCTATCCATGTCTCACGCCTTCTGGTGGCAGGCCGGGGGATCGCATGGCCACATCCTACTGGGCCAGTCTGCGATCACGGGGTGCTCGATGGGGAGAGAGTGAGAGAAAGCATCCAATGGCCATTCGGAGTTGTGGACGCCGACCAACGGATTAAGATTCACCGTACATATTCTGGATCCGGTTAGCGCTAGCGGTCCGAAGATCCCCAGCTTCCGATTGATAGTCCGTTCTTCTTACCCGACGGTTCCAACGACTCTTCACCACTCCCACGGGACGGCTTCGTGATGCTCCAGTGGCCCGCCCAGAGAGATAAGGGGATAGGATAAACCACGCAGTTCATCCATGTACGGAGTAGCATGGCACATTAGACAGAACTGGGGTTCAAGAGGCCATGACGTGATCAAAGTACTTCCTCCTGAGTCCTGAGAGACCCTCTTATCCACCCCCCACAGACTGCCATGGCAATCGACGCATCCGACCATCACAATTGGTACTTGCTCTCCTTTAGGTGTGCCAGAACAAAGAGAGGTGAAGCGGGGAAGGAGCTCCGGCCAGCCGAAAGAAAGTCAGTAAAGTCAGTAACTCAGTCAGTCGATTTATGCCTTGACTACGCCTTTCCCATACCTTCTTCCCCCATAATAGCCCCCATACCGGACGTACCAGATGCATTGGCCTTTAATTCCCGTATGAATGGACACCGTCCTAGTAACTCAATTGGCACGGATCTCTGCAAAAAATGCCTGTCATGCTTTTCCCGCAAGGTCCTTGGAACTCACGGACTTGCTATTCGCCAATAGGTAAATATTTTCTTTCTCTGAAAATTCCTTTCCTTCAGTGAAAAAACTAAATTAATAGAATAAAAAGCGAAAGAAACACAGAAAAAAACAAAAAAGAAAGAGCCATCGGGAAGGACGTGAAGAGAGAGAGGGAGAATGAGAGAACAGACCGCGCCGGCTGCAAAAGCGTGGCAGCAGCTCAGCCAAAGACCCACCAAAACCAATAGTCGACAGATCCTCGTCGATCCGCCTCAGGGATCTGTCGATTGTCGAACATCTCTCACCTTTCCTTTTTCTTCCAATGCTCTCGGGATCCGATGATTAGGACTCCCTTCCTTCCCCCCTCTCTTTCTCCCCACTCTGAGCGCCCTACACGCGTGAGAACTTTCTGCGAAATCCGCCATTCGTCCGTTTGAATTTCTGGCTTCTGTCAAACCAGGCCATAATCGACGCTAATCATGATTGTGGTCACAGACACAGGCTCACTCGCTCACTCGCTCGCCCCCCTCAAGTCACGAGATGACGCAGTAGTGATCTGCAATCTGCTCTCATGCAGCAGCAGCAGGACCGGGGGTCATTAATGTCATGTTAGGGGGTGGGATCTGGTCTGACGCTATCGTATGCGCTTCCCACAGGTCTCGATGGGCAACGAGAACTGTTGAGCCGAAATACATATGCATGCACGCATGCATGGGTATAATCTTTTGGTTCGTCTGTGAGCCTATTTCCTACGTTCTCACGACCGCCATGCACCTGGCCCAAGTCCGTCGACAGTCGGACGATGATGCTGGGCAGGGATGCCTCCAAGAAGAGGGCTCCAGTCTGGCGGGGCCCATAGCCTGACTACGACACACACTGCGTTCCAGAGTAGTATCATCTGACTACAACCCGTGGGGAATGATACGAAGTAGTTGATAGTGGGAGGAGTAAGTACGTAGTAGTTATCTGAGGCCCAAGTGGAACCAGATAGATAGGGGGGCGCGGGAGAGGGGCCAAAACAATGGGGTATTTCCCCTACCGAGTTTCGAGCGGTGCTAAAGTACATACTACTGACTACTAACTACGTCGACACACTCCGCCCACGGAGTAATTATATTGGGCCGTCAATGCTGAACTACGAAATATGGAGTTCACCATGATTGAAGGGCAAGTACTCCATCCAGGTGCCAGGGTAACCGGGAATCCCTCTCCAACCAACCACGAAAACGCACCGGGTCTCTCGGGTTCACGTGTATGTATGCAGCACCTTAAAAACAGCTTAAGCACATCGTACTGGGAACACCTTGCCACAAGCTGTCCACCCAACAGCAATGGCCCTGCAACAGGAGGGCTCATGTCGCGTAACCTGACAACCCCTCAAACAAGCTCAGACCAATCAGCACAGGCGTATCCCGGCGTGGACTCACGTCTCAGAGCTTGAGAACAGTCCTGGGCGTGCAACATGGATCTCTTCTCAGAACAAGAATGAGGATCTGACTATCTGCCTAGCCTGAGCTGGCTCCCTGTGAGGATCCACCACCACCCGCACGGATCGCTTTCACCGCGATCCTCATAGGCTGATGGGATCTCACAGAGGGCCGTTGTCGCCCGAATGATAGAGGTCTCAAATATTGGACCCTGGAAGGGAAAAAACAAGCAAATACATGGGAAGGAAGCGAGCGAAAGGAAAAGAAGAGGGAGAAAAAGCAAGAAAAATCCCCGATGATCCTCGGTGCATGGGAGTGATGGTCTGTGATACCTGAGTGGAGGATGGGTGGATGGGTGGGTGGATGAAATGGTACACTCTGAAAGTGGAAGTCAGTGATGACCCCCCCGACCCCCAATCCTCCCCTGAAACTGGAAGCCTCACTGAATATCCTAACCTGAAGTATACTTAGATGCTGATCACGCTGGCCAGTGGGAGCCGAGTTGCTGGACCGGGGCCCCGATCCTCAATAGCATGGGATCCCCTGTCTGGGTATAAGGTTGACTTGGCACTGGGGGATCCTCCCCTATTGACGGCCGGTCGCCTGTCCGTAAGGAAAAACTTCCCTGCTAACATACCATCCGAACTCCATCTGCCCATCCCCCTGGGTCTGATCATTCCGTGGCAGCTACCCTCCGCTTGTCACATCTGGCCGGGATACTGTCTAGTGTGACAATCACCACCCGCCATGATCGTATCATTACTAACAGGGGAGGGATGGGGGGTTGAGATTGTATTGCCCACTCCAACTTTCCATGCACTGGCTCGAGTTTAGTGCGATTGGAACCCAGCATGGCCATACATATGTGGATATGTGGACCTATCTGGGCGTCGATTGCCATGGCTTTCCTTTTCCCCCTCCGTAGTAGTGCCTTCTGCCTCATCACTAACTAGCTTACTCCGGCCACGCCGTGTTGAACGCGACGTTCAGCTGCGACACTCAACGCCACAGAGCTGAATCTGTGGCGGTGCGTATTCGAGCGTCAGCCACATGTAGATCACCGGACTAGTGAGGGCCTCAGGCCCTAGACGATCTTCCTGCTAGTTAGTATCACCGGCCTGTCTTTAGGCGTTCTCCGAATAGCGTGACTGTCAGCACCAGGACTTGCAGACTTGAGTCAAGATGACTGCCTCTGGGTGGACGGAACCCAAAATGCTTCACCGCGATTTGTCATGGCATAACAATAGCCTCTTCGATCGATAGGCTCTCAGCGAAGCCGCCACACGGCACTTCGATCTGCCTGCCTATTCTCTATCCTAATCTTGTTTAACTCCGTGATTGTGCCACCGTGCTCAACGCTCAGGGCGGCTAACTTCCCTGACGACCCCGTCATCGTGTTCCAGGTTCCCAGGTTCGAACCAGGGCTGACGGAGTGTGACGAGTTGGGTTGCTGTACAAGAGATCACATCGTTGTTGCCTGAGCTGCAGCAACGGTGAATGATTCTCGTCACGAGTGGGCTTCAGTTGACTGGCCGATCCACTTCCCTTCTCTCGCCGTCTGATAATCACTCTGCCTCTCATTGACTAGTGATACAGTGTAATACCCATAAGCACCGCAAACCAAAGACTCCTCTTTCCAACCAAAATGGCAAGAAGGGGGGAAAGCGTAAAAAAAGAAAGAAGAAAAGAAGAGAAGATGTGACTCCACCTCCTCCATCACAGCACACTTCCGAAAGGCCTACATCATCCCTTGCATAGGGCGTCAGACGCAGCTTGAGGGAGGGGGGATGGGCCAGATGCACCTCGCTGGGCCATGGACGAGCTCAACTCGATCTCCGGCGCCGAAGCAGCAGGGATCGCGCCGATCGAAGTTCGCCGTCGACAAGTCGACCCATCTCTTTTCCAGAATCTGATCGCCCCCTTCTCTCAACGAGGCGATCCTCTTCGGGTCTGCGATGTGCAACCGATTCCCGCCACTATTGCGAGTTTTCTTTTTCGTTCCCTTCCCCCTGGAATCTGCAATTGTGCTGCTGGCTCGTGTCCTCCGAACGGGCAGCCGCCGCTGGGTGGCCCCTACTACTGTACAGGATGTATGCACATAGGGGATTCCGTCCTTTTGGCACAATCGGTTTGTTTCGTGTTGTTTCGTGTTGTTTCGCCACGTCTCATCCTCTCACACACATTTCTCTCTCAGATCATCTTTTGGACCGTGTGTTTCGGCCACCTACGTATTCCCAGAAGACTTAGGTGCAGTCGTAATGTTCGGGAGGTTCCTAAGTATAACCATTGCAGCAGCCACTATGCAATAAGTCCCAGCTCTGCTATGGCCACTTCGCGTTACCTACTCAGGTACTACTGGCTTGTCTGCCTACTTACCTATTCCTCCGTCCCGCGCGACGGGACCCAGAATCCCGGAAGTAAAAAAAAGAAAAAGAAATAAAATAAAATAAGAAAAAAGAATGCGAGAAGAGACAGGCCTACTTCCAGCAACCCCAATCGGTTCGGGAGGAAAGGAACACTCGAAACTTGTCGGTGAGAGCAATCCAGGTCGGTGACCAGCAACCCACCGCGCGCAGCCGTTTAACTTAATCTTCTGATATATTGCGCTCGGCTTTCCGAAAATGCCTCAGAGGATGAGATCTGTCACGACAGGGCGAGCGAGTACCAGAGAAGCGGTCTTGAGCTAAGTTGACTTTCGCCGGTGTGGAAATGCACTGACGGTCTTGTCTGTTCCTAGGGCTGTTGTCACCGACATGCATACATACAGTATACTTGGTATACTTGCGTACTTACAGTAGTCAACCAGTCTATTATTCGCCCGTCGAAAAAGGGCTGGCTGGGGTGCTCCATACGGAGTCCTCCCCGGATTGTTTCTCCATCGGAGCTGATCTGAGCTGAGCTGAAGCAAGCTCTCTTGCCACTTCCTACTTTCGGGTCCTTGATTAGTCTACCTAGTCTTGCTTAGTACCTACCTACCAAAAAGCAAAGCGGACTCAATGATCTGCTGCTGCTTCACCGCTAGCTAACTATCTAGCATGGAGCTTCCCTCTTTTACTTTTCGGAGGGTCTGTCTGCTTGCCTGCACTGTGCTTACTGTAGGTACGGCTTTGTCTTCCCCCCGGCACTTACTACTTACCAACCTGTCTACTGTACGAAACTACTTACGACCCGATACTAGTCTGTCATGTCTCCCTGGGATTAGACAGACGCATGGAGAGTATCCTGCTTACTTACGGAGTACATGATCTTCTTAGGTTCCCTCTCTTTGGGGAATGGGGAACATTGGCGCGACGCTATGTGCTATGTACTAACCTGCAGACAAGCAGCAGCAACAGCAGCAGCAGCACTAAGCTCCATGTTCCACAAGACAGACGACAAGCTCTACTGTATACTCTATCTCGAGCTAAGCTAAGGTAAGGGTCTGGTGAGTAAGAAGATAGTCCATCACATCACAGACAGTCAACACGGCACGGAATACTCTTTGAGATTTCCGGTGTGAGACATACAGCTTTCACTGTCACTACTCCGTATACCACTTACATATCCCGACACATACTGTAGGAGGATAGCAATGCCTACTACTCACATCCTGTAGTTACCACTCGCTCTAAACACACAGACACACTTACTACCTCTGAAACCTAAGACCAGACTACCAGTACTAACAATGAATATCACCATCACCGCTGCGCCTCTCACCACTTCATATCGTCAATAAATCCCATTGAGCGTAGTTAGTCAATTGATTGCTCGAATTAACTAGTTACTTATATTCCTCATAAACTAGTATGTGCTTGACCTCAGGTATAAAGAGTAGTATTTATAATTAACACCACTCAAGTGAACCCATGAAATCTCCCTCCATTCTCACTTTCCACAACAACAACAACAACAACAACAACAACAACAACAACAACAACCAAGCAGTAGACTGAAGTAGAGTAGAACCTTCTCCCCAAGCCCCATCTATCTATACATAACTATAATCATCCACATCCACATCCTTAACAACCACCTCCCAAATCTAGTAACTACATATGAGCAACCAACAAACCAAATAACCTACCTATGTTTATCTTTAGACCGATACAGAAAAGTCCTCCAACTAGAATCAGTTTCGATCTAGATCACATCACATCACACCCCAACCAACCCCACCGTTATGATTTCAAAAACTTCGGGGTATCTGCAATTTCTGCGTTGCGTTGGGTCATATGTGGAGAGAAGGGTAGTAGGTAGTAGTCAAGGGACGTACGTACGTACGTTAGTTAGTGGCATGCAAGGTAAAAAAGAAAAAAAAATATAAGTGTTTAGAAACGGATGGAACGGTGGTGAAGGGTGGAAAAAACGTTGGGGGGTGTTGTTTGTGTCGCTCTGGTGATGGTGGAAGAGAGATGAGATGTGTCATATTTGGGGTACGTACAGTAACATTAGTTAGTAGTTTACTATGTGATCGACTAGTTGCGTTGTTTGTTGTTGGTAGGTAGAGACTAGGGTATGTATGTATGTATGTATGTATGTAGGAAAACGGTTCTTCGCTGGTCTATCTAATGGTAACTTGACTTACACTCAAGGTAAGTAAGTAGGTAGGTATCTGTCTATGTACAATCGAGGGTTCTGTCTAAGAATCTTCGTAGTAGACTGGACCCCGATACTGTGACCCGCACACAATAAAGGGATCAAAAAAATCAGGCTAAATGTCAATCGAAATCAAGGAAGTGGACATAAGAAGAGCATGGATAAATCCAAAAGGTCAAAAAGGATAAGATGCCCGCAATCTATTGGATCCAAACTTTCGTCGTCGGGTTTCCAGAAACCTCCCTCCACTTGGAGTTCAAAGTTCAAAGTGAATCAACCCCCTTTATTGGAAGGCGTTCCGGATTTCCAACTGCATCTGGCCATCGACCACGCCCTTGATGCTGATGCTTCTCAGATCCTCGACGATCCAGTCGGCACCGGCTTCTTGGAGCTGCGCAAGCGTGTGGGTCGTCGTGAGCGCAATGACTTTGAACCCGGCCGCCTTACCAGCCCTGATGCCCGACGGCGCATCCTCCAGAACTACCAGAGACGAGGAATGCTCCAGACCCAGGCGCGTCCGACCAAGCAGATAGCACCGGGGGTCAGGCTTGCCCAGCTCAACATCTTCCGCCACCACCAAGACCTTGGGGTGAGCGAGGTTCAGCACGCCCAGCCAGCCGTCCACCAGCGCACGCGTTCCAGAGGTTACCACGCCCCAGCGAGCGCCAGCGTCGTCCAACGCTGACATGAAATACCGCGCCCCGGGAATCTCGACGGCGTCCGACCCGTATTCCTTCGGGATGCGACCTTCGATGTAGCTGACATCTGGCGGTTGAGAAAGCAACTGGTCAGTCTGCTGGATGCTGTATGTGGTAGATGGACGATAAGGAAGAGTGGTGGTGGTGATGGTTTCAGGTTGGAGTTTCTCAATCGAACTGCAGAGTGTCCAAAGGAATACACTTACACTCCCAATTGGCCTTCTTCGGGTCGTACAACTGGATCGTATCGATGCTTCGGCGGCCGTGGGAAGTGGCCAAAATGGTCTTGGGGTCAACGCCCAACTCCGCACCGATTCTGCAAGTGATAATTAGGACGAATGGCGTTTGGTTACACGAAGGGAAGTGGTGGGGACGAACTTGTGCCAGTGTTTCACAATCGCTAAAGATCAGATGTCAGTACATGGTGACAGAGGAGGGGTATGTGGGCATGAGGAGGGGGACTGACCATCGGTTGAGTCGACGATAGTGCCGTCAAAGTCGGAGAGTAGTCCGTCAAAAGTGTGGACTTGCGGAGGGGCAGAGAAGGAGCCGGATGGTCTAGACATGATAATGGTGGGGGAAGTAGGACAGAAAAACTCAGGGCCAACACAAGGTGGGGGTAGAAGGAATGGAGGGACAACTCAAAGGATGTGAGTAAATAGATGTAAGGAGTGGACACAGTCAGCACCGCTAGTCAGCAAAAGGAGGGACAAAGGGGAAAAGAAAAGGTGGGTTTCAGGCTTCAGGCAGAAGGAGTGAATGAGTTGGTAAGTCGTGAGAGAGAGAGTCAGTCCAAAGGAACGAACGAATGGCAGCGCCGGATATCCATAGTCTGTAGTAAGAAAGTATGCCGGTATTACCGGAGATCGGTGTTTCATTGTGCCGGTTATCTTAGCGCCTTGCCGCCGAAATCTTCTTGGCGGCACAAAATTGTTCGGGCGGATCAGAGTGAGTCTCTGTGCTTTGGATCGCCTTTTTGCTCAGAGACGGTTTAGGGGTTATTAGGCAAGATGGTCAAGCTAGGTATGTTCGCTTCATCAGTATCGCCATTGTCCTCTGCTAACCCTTCCTCCAGGCAAAAACTCCAAGCGGGTTCCCGTCCGCCTACGACACAAGATTGAAAAGGCCTCCGCGGCCAAGCAACGCAAGCAGAGAAAGCTTGCAAAGAAGGTACACACCACTCCTTTTGCATGTTTCTGCATCATCATTGCTCATACTAATGCTGCTTGTAGAACCCCGAGTGGCGCTCCAAGATCAAGAAGGACCCCGGTATCCCCAATCTGTTCCCGCACAAGGACAAGATCCTCCACGAGATCGAAGAGAAGAGACGCTTGAAGGCGGAGGAACAACAGCGCATTCGCGATGAGGCCCGCGCTCGTCGCCAGGCTCAGAAGGAGGGTGGCGCTGAGGAGGATCCTGTTGATGCCAATGTCATGATTGATGAGGACGATCTGATCGACGACGACGATATGGACGAGGATGTCGGTGACTCCTCGAACCCCATGGCGGCGCTGCTTGCTTCCGCCCGTGCCAGAGCTGCCGAGTACGAGGAGGAGCACTCCGATGATGAGGACGATGAGATGGACGAGGACGACTCCGACGACGAGGATATGGACGAGATGGACCAGGACGAAGAAGGCGGTGCCAGCCTGGACGTCTCCGCCCCGATCACCCAGAGCACTTCGAAGGAGAGCTCGCGACGGGCCTTCGACAAGGTTTTCAAGCAGGTTATTGACAACGCCGATGTGGTGTTGTACGTTCTGGATGCCCGTGATCCCGAGGGCACTCGGTCCAAGGAGGTGGAGCGCGAGATCATGTCCGCGGACGGAGGCAACAAGCGATTGATCCTGATCCTCAATAAGATCGATCTGGTTCCTCCTCCGGTGCTCAAGAACTGGCTGATCCATCTGCGCCGCTACTTCCCCACGCTGCCTCTGAAGGCCTCCAACGGCTCGGGCAACGCTCACAGCTTCGACCACAAGCAGCTGACTGTCAAGGGCACCTCCGAGACGCTCTTCCACGCGCTCAAGTCGTACGCGCACAACAAGCAGATGAAGCGCTCCATCTCCGTCGGTGTGATCGGTTACCCCAACGTCGGCAAGTCGTCCGTCATCAACGCCCTGACGGCCCGTCTGAACAAGGGTTCCAGCAACGCTTGCCCCACGGGCGCCGAGGCCGGTGTGACCACCAGCCTGCGGTCCGTGAAGCTGGACAGCAAGCTCAAGCTGATCGACTCCCCGGGTATTGTCTTCCCCAACTCGAGCGACAAGGCCAGCAAGAAGAAGAAGAAGCAGGAGGAGCACGCGCGTCTGATCCTCCTGAACGCGGTTCCCCCCAAGCAGATTGAGGACCCCGTTCCCGCCGTGTCGTTGCTGCTCAAGCGCTTGTCGACATCGGACGACCTCATCTCCAAGCTGCTGCAACTCTACAACATCCCCCCGCTCATCCCGACCGGTGGCGACCAGACGCACGACTTCCTGGTCCATGTGGCCCGCAAGCGTGGTCGTCTCGGCAAGGGTGGTGTGCCCAACATTGAGGCCGCCGCCATGACGGTGATTACCGACTGGCGTGATGGACGTATCCAGGGCTGGGTTAACGCCCCTGTGCTGCCGGTAGTGACTACGGCAGAGGGCGCGGCGGCGCCGGCCGAGGGCGTGGACACGAAGCAGATTGTGACGGAGTGGGCGGCAGAGTTCAAGATTGAGGGATTGTGGGGCAATGGGGAGGATGATGAGATGGCCGAATAGATGTTTTTCTCATGGATACCAGGCGTTAATGGTTTCTTAAAAGGTAGATAGTGTCAATTGCGATGAACATATACCGGACCGAAGTTTCGTATGTCAATTATAGCAGTAATGCCAAAGCAATTAGCATTGAATTATTTGCAATTGTGTATTGTAGTAGTCTTCAATAGTACGGCAGTAGTCACCAACAGTAGTAGTAGTATAGTAGTAGTAGTAGTTTACCTCACTGTTCCAACATATGAACACAACCTCCAGTATTCCGGCCAAAATATATAGTTGGATGGCACCTCACATCAGTACACCCACCACTTTAACCTCTTCACTTCAACCAAAGTAACAAATATAAACAATCAGTAAAACACATCCAAATTACCAGCAACATGAAACAATCACCAAGCCCCAACTAACCCATCATACTTCCTACCCAACATACAAAGTTAGTATGTAGTACATAACGTACTTGCAGAAAAGAAACCTTATCACCACCCACCCGAAGCGATACGATACCCATAATCAATCACCCCCAAAGATTCCGCCGCCTCCTCCCCCGATCCACACGCGCCGCTCCTCCGCGTTTCTGTCGCGTCACAATCCCATTTCTGCACAGGAATTTTTTAAAACGAACCAACATCAATCAATCAATCAATCACTCACCACGATACCCCCTTCCATTCTATAATTTTACTTCACTCACAACGATTGGCGACCCCCAAAATAAGAAACCAGAAATACAGAAAGAAACACAAAAGGGAAGGAAAGAACGAAAGAAAGAAAGGAAGAAAGGCACCACCATGCCCCGAAAATCCACCAGCAGCAGCACGCCCGGCGACGACGGAGCAGGAGCAGAACAATCCCAGATATCCCAAATACACCATTCCCAATCACCCTCAGATATCGTCCACCTTCCCGAATCAACAGGACAGATGGTCGAAGCGACAGAACAACAACTCAAGGCGCGGGCGGAGGGGGGTGTGAGTATTGAGGTGTGTATATATCCATCCATCACTCCCTTCCTTCCTTCCTTCCTTATATCCAAACATATCTATATCTATATCTATATATATATATGTGGGGAATTATCATAACTAATAGGTATCTATCTAACTGTGGTAACAGGACTACCTCCTCCCCCGCTCTCTCACCCTCCGACTAGCAAAATCCGTTCTTCCTCCGAATACATCGATACAGAAGGATGCGGTATTGGCGATTCAAAAGGCCGCGACGGTGTTTGTGTCGTATTTGTCGTCGCAGTATGTTTCCCCCTTCATTCCTTTAGATCTATCTTTCTTGCGTCCAGGAGGATAGTGTATTGACTTTGGGGGCTGTGTTTAGTGCCAACGAAGCAACCCTCAAACGAACCGTCGCGCCATCGGACGTCTTCAGCGCCATTTCGGAACTAGAGTTTGATGGATTCCGCACACGATTGGAGCAGGAGTTGGAGGCGTTTACGGAGTTGAAGGCGGGGAAGAGGAGGGCGAAGAAGGGGGATAGTAGTAGTAGTACTACTGCTGCTGCGGCGGCGGCGGAGGGAGTGGGGAAGGATGCTGAGGAGGAAGAGGAAGATGGGGATAGAGGGGTGAAGAGGGTGAAGCGGGCAGAGGAGAAGAAGAAGAATGGTATTGGTGGTGGTGGTGGGGAGGAAGAGGAAGGGGATGAGACGCAGGAGGAGCATGAGCAGGAACAGGAGCAGGATGATGAAGAGGAAGAGGAGGAGGAAGAAGAAGAGGAGGACGAGGAGGAGGAAGAAGAGCAGAAGGATGATGATGATGAGGATGAGGAAGAGAATGATATTGATCGAGTGGAGGATTTGGATCGGGCGAAACGGCCGATGAATCCGGATGTTGAGGGGGATGAGTCGGACAGTGAGGATGAGGATGGGCCTGGGAGTCAGCTGCGAGGGGATTTGGGACTGGGTTAGATTGTGTTTTATGATGATTATGTGTGTATGGTATGGTATATGTCTTTGTCTCTGTTTACGGCTGATGGGTATGCGGCAACGAAATGGATTGTTGCATGATATCACTTCTACTCCACGTCCAATGTACAATGTGTTGATACCCAATTCAACTTCATCACAACCAGCTGCTCATTATATTCACCACGTGGGGACTCCTTGAACTCCGCACTCACAACGCCCACAAGGGCTTGCCTATGTTGTACAATCATTGGTGCAGTTGACGCCACAAATCAGAAGAGTACCCAAGGGACTCCAACCAGCTATATATAGCTGCTGCTTGAAGCAGTGAGGTGAGCCCAAATGATATCTTCGTTATCCCACCCAAACGCCATGTCCCATAGTCTATCATTGGTATCGCCATTAACTGAAATTGAAAAGACTCCCCAGGAAGGCCTTAAATGTAAAATAATAGTAAAGGAGAAGAAAAAGAAGAAAAGAAGACGGGAAGACGCGCTGACGCAGACCCAAGCTGAGTCATGCGGTCGGCTCATTCAGTAACAGATTCATCCCTCGCGGAATAGAGTCAGGAGAAATGGTCTCGTTCTGTCGCCACCGACCGCTTGGGGGAGGAGTAGAGGCGCCCTTGCCCACCATTTTGGGGAACGTCTGATTCGGTCCGTTGTTGCGAGCAGCGCCCGGAGCCAACGGGTGCATCGCCTTGGTGTCGTCCTTGTCCAGCTTGGTCGACTTGTCACTTGTGGCAGCTTTCTGAGCCTTGGTGACCCTTCCGAAATTGTTGATCTTGGAGTTCTTCGCTGGCTCGGCCTTCTTTGGTCGTCCTTTAGGCGCAGCCTTCTTCGGAGCCGCTTTCTTCGGAGCAGCCTTCTTTGGCCCGTCTGTCTTGGCCGCCTGCAGCACATCTGTAATGCTCCGTCCGTTGCTGGCGGGGTTCGGGCGACCTTTCTTCGCCAAAGGTTTGGATTCATCCTCATAACTTGACGATGGAGTAAGAAAGCCTGTCGGAGTGGGTCGTTTCTTGCTGGGGGTGACAACCACCGACACCTCGCCTTGTTCCTTCTTCACTCGTTCCACTTCCGAAGAATTGCACTCATCAAACACGTCGTCCTGTGCATCCCACCGCTTCAGATTGGCCAGTCGCGCAACTTCCTCACAGTCACCCTTGACCATTAGATCCCAGCAGTCCTCAAACTCCTTGCCGGTGGGGTACTCATTGTTGATCCACATGGTCACTCCGTTACGACGACTCCGGATGACGGAGCAAAGACTCTTTACCAGGCGACGCACTCCGGGAATCTTCAAACTCGTACCGACCACAATTAGGGCGTCCGGGCGGGAACGAATGTCAGCATTCATAACGGACGTGATGGCCTCCTCGTCCGGATTGTGCTCGTTGTACAGGACAATGCGAGGTCTCATCTTGCCGATGCCATGGCTACGTTGGCCGGTTTCCATACGGAACTGATTGTTACGGCAGCACTCCGGGCATTCGGGGGCATCGGGACGGTCAAATAAGCCCGCATCGAAGTCACTCAGATGTCGACATTTCTGGCAAACCATCTTGTCAAGACTGCCATGCAATTGGATGGTGCGTGGCCAGGGCGCTTTGACGTTCAATGGGATCTGCGTGGCCAACGGAGGCATTGAGGTCTCAATGCCATCGATGTTTTGTGTGTAGAGACGAGTGAGACGGTTCTCCTGGCCCAGTCGCGCCAGCATGTGGTGGAAAGCTGTGGGAGAGGTCTTGGCTGCTTCCTCGGACAGCGACCGTACCATGTCCTGGAAGGAGGCGGTCAACGCCTCATCCTGGTAAACGGCTGCATCGAACAAGAGCTTGCCCGATGCTTTGAGGTTATGTTTCTTCTGAAGAGTTTTGAACAGACCGTCGGTCGAGCGGAAATCAGGAACTATGATAGATTAGAAAATACGAGGAAAAGAGGCAAGAGCGGACAGTCGCGTGGTGGTGGTGACAGGATCAGGAGTGGGGATGGGAAAGCATACTTCCTGCGGAGGTGGAGATACCCGCACCGGCGATGACGACAATTTTGCGGTGACGCTGAATCGTTTTGACGAGATAGTCAATTTGCGACTGCTGTTCAGTGTAGGACAGGCCGGCGGTGGCCGACAGGTCGAGATGCTGAGTTCGGCGTTCTTTGGGGGCGGCGACCCGACGCTTCTTCCTGGCGGGCGGCAACTCGTCTTGGCTGCGGGCGGCGCTAGGCTCATCCGCGTCCTGCGACGGGGGCGGCGACGGATAGAAACCAGGCGGTGCCAGAGGTGATGCCGGCGCTGAGCTTAAACTCGAGCAATCCGAGTCATCATCCATGCCTAATGACGCCAGAAGGCTTTTCGGAGACGAACGGGAGGAGCTCGTGGTAGAGTGTGTAGTAGTAGTGGTAGTGGAGGTGGTAGTGGTAGACGAAGTGGTGGCAGTACGACGGGGCGCCATTTAGGTCAGGCCGTCGCGGTGACGAAGCAAACAGCGAGCACAAAGAGATCGGGGGAAGAAAAATTGGAATCGAGGGTGGGAGGGAAAAGACTCAAGGAGGGCTCGCTGTTCACGGAAAGCTGGGGGGGATCAAAGCTAGATATCGTCCCGAGAGAAAACCATGGAGGACCGGAAAAGAAACGGAAAACATCAATTGACAAGTGGGAATGACGGTAAGGGGGATAATTTCGGACAGATATTGCTTCTTTGTTTTCCCCTGTCGTTCACGTCTGGCTCCCTGACTTCGGGCGGAGGTAGTAGCGAGAAGGGAGTTGGGTGGAAGAAGAAGAAGAGGAAGAAGAAGAAGAACGACGAAAAGAAGACAATGGGGGCAGATGAAGAAGAGGAGGAATGGGCAGCACAAGAGGAACCACCCCGTGACTGGGACAGCGCAAGTCTGGGTCGAGGACAGCAAGTGGTGAGGTCAAGTGGAAAACGGACGGAGAGGGAGAGCGAAAGAAAAGGGCTACTAGTAGCAAGCCAGCACAACTAGAATAGAATGGACTGACTGACTGCTGCTTGGGAGTGTTGCAGCAGGTTCGACGGCAGGCCGGTCAGATCCTCTCGCTTGCAGTGTGTTTATTTTGACCCACGGGTATCGCTCGGGAAGAGTCGATGAAGGCTCTGCATCAAAGAGGGCTAATGGGGAAATGGGGGGAGATGGAGGTAGAGGAAGAGGGGGTTGACCTGCAGTAAAAACACAAACTCGGGCAACGAAGTGGTATGCTCAGAGGAATGTGTCTGGAAACAAGAGGGGTAGATAGATATGATCGCGTGTTGATCAAGTTGGGATGAATGCCGGTGGGAATGATGATATTGCTCTACTACACCTAAATTTACTAGTCAGTGTTTGGGACATGCTACTATACTGCTGCTATGCTACTAACACACACTTTGATTGCCAGTTACATTACATTGTTACGGGGTTGCAGTGACTATTGGGAATTTTCCCGTATCAACCCTGTATGGACAGCCCGGTGGGGGCTGGCTCTTGGGTGCATTTGGAGTTAACCTCGTCTTTTTTCTCCTGCAAATTCGGTTTTGTGCTGCCAATCTCGTTACCGATCCCGTACCGCGCTAAAGGGGGCTGTCGGCCTGGGGAGCTTCTTCCATTGGCCGTGGAAGCTTCACCCAATTCTCCGGCCAACCACAGCCCAAACATATACTTGCCCGTGCGAGGCAATCCTCACCATGCCTTTTCCCACACATTGGAGGGCTGTCGGAATGAACAAAGAGGTCGGATATCCTTCTGGTTTTAATGATTATCCCCTAACATAACCCGAGTGGGCTCGACTGCAGTTATCAGAATCCCATATCGCGACCGTCATTCGCACTAGCCGGCCTTCCGACTATCGTTCCGAATCCGTCGCGTCAAACGCTACGATTGTTGGGAAGGCTGAGCGTTTATTTCATAATCAGCAACCAGGGTCACAGGGATACCTTACGTATGCTCGTCATCTCCTTGCGGGGCTGACCATATGCCAGTAGAATCTGTGATATAATTATCGTATAAATCGTGAACCCATACTGGAATCATTGCTGCCTTTGCCATGGCATTGATATTCACCTTTGGTCTGTGTGATCGAACCGGACACAGCATTATCCACGGACGGGCCAGCGCGGGGTATCGGATGAAGCTACCAGTCCAAATATGTTTGAGGCATTTGTCGGAAAGTGCGGCGTTGTTCTAGCAAGAACTGGCATGGTCCGGTTTTTCCAGGATGCCGGATCTTCCACGGACTTACGTTCCCCGCACCTGTATTATTGTTGAGTTGCGTTCTCTGCTATCTGAAGAGCGAACTTGAATGTAGATACGTGTATTTGATGAGATGTGTTTGCTAATCACCACCGTGCTCTATGGAGGAGTCGCATCCGGTTATGTTCTCCCACATCATCTGCCGGGCCTCGTGTTTCTTTCTCCGTCCGATCAGGCGCTCATCTTGTTGCTAGCAAGCCCACTGTAAGACTGCACTATGACTGCAATCCAGAGAAAAGTCCCTGCTATAGAGGAAAATGCTATAACTTCGGCTTGGTTTGCAATATAACATCCGTCCGAGATGATCGGACGTCGTTTGCGGGAAGGTGGATGATTCGACAAGTGAGGCGGGTTGAGCCCCGCTCTTTAAACGGTCTTCTTCTCCATCTTGAACGATGCAATAGACGCTTCTCTTGCATGACATGTCTTTTAGCCCACGAATTAGGGAATGGGATATCATCAGATAGCTCATATTCATTGCTGTAAGTAGTAGCAAGGAACCATCACGCATCATGCCCTTCCGTATCTGGTCTGAACATGTTTCTTCACCATGCCCTTGATGGCTGTTTTTTGCGACTATTACTTCCGGAAATTTCCCAGTTCACAAAAATGTGACGCATTTACTAACAGACAGTGGTACTGTATCTGAAGGGTACAGTTGCAGCTGGTATTAGTGAGCAAGCGCTTGGTTGTAAGCCGACCGCAGACCTCAAGCAAGTACTAGTGTTCCAAGGAGTAGTCATGATAGGGTTCACGATTGACGTATATTGGCGGGAACTATAGGGAATATCTGCACGATCGCCTAGCACAGACTTGGCCTATTGACAACTCCCTTGTTTTACATAGTATCCCCCCGGTGCTAGAATTGGCAACTGCCACAAGGTGGTCAAGGTGGTCGTGCAGCTCCTGGAACTTCCCTCCAGCAGCGAAGTTCAAAGATGGATCTCGCCGATATCGTTGCGCCCATGGCTGGTGGGGCCGGTGTGATTGGTTGTCCTGGTTACGACAGCACATGACCTCACATGACGCTGACTAAGAGGCGCGGAGAGCTCCACCTGACCACTAGTCCCGAATAATGAAACTATCATCTTGGAGAGTCAACTTAGCCCATGATCATCCTCCCGGCCAAAGGGTAGCGTCTGGATCCGGGGTTTGAATGCCATGAGGGTTCTGTCTGCTATCAACTAAGCCCTTTTGCATATCATTCAGTGCCCCTCGGTGGCTACACCCCGCCCATCTTACCTGCGCAATTGCCTGCCGAGGTTCAATTGTATCGAACTATGATATCTGAGTCTTGCGATCACTGGCCTCCCAAGACATTTTACTACCCCCATTGGATTTAGAGCTTCGCACCCCCACAATGCCCTTAATGATGGACGATAGTATCAATGTTGACGATCTATTTGGCGAACCCACCTCCCTCGAGCTGGGCCTGCCACCATCGGCTTCTTCTGCCAGAGGCCTTGCCCAGCGTCTGGATGAGATGCGACTGCTCGGCTGTTGCCAGTAAGTTACTGTCTTCTGAGGTGTCGCGAAACCTAGCTTGGATCTGTAGGCTAATTTTGTTCAAAGGAAGATTGCATGGTCCAAACTGGGATGTATTGCTTACATCTCACAAGACTCCTTGAGGGTGAAAGTCCGCCATCTGCAATGTCGACCTTCGGATGGCAAGTGGGTGCTCAGCGATGAGACCCCTTTGATGCCAATCACCGAAGCGCACGGCGGGCATGCTCTCACTCACCTGAGTTGGAACGAAGCTGGTTCCGATCTGGCTGTGGTCGATGTGACTGGACGTGTCTCAGTCTATCACATCCCTTTCGCCCTCAACAGTGTTAACGGCCTTCGACAGCCGGCTTTTTCTCCCGACGATGGGTCTCAAATTGTTGGCATGATGTGGCTGAATACCCAACGATCCGTATGTAGATCTGCGAACCACATCTGTCTCTCCATGCTAAACTTCTTAGGTGCATGCATTTTACCAAGCAGCCAAAGTACAGGGTCGCTGGGCTTACTCGCCGTTCCGTCGCCGCCCGATAGGTCCGTTTCACCCTGCAAATAAAGCGGCACTGCTATGCATTACACGTTCTGGATCTATGAAACTCTTGTACCAGAATCCGGACGGCAGATGGGATGACATCTCCGTGGATTTGAAGAGCACAAGCTACTCAGATCGGATGCTGTCACATGCTGCTCTGGTAGCAACCCAGAACGGGATCCTTGTCGCTACTTACTCGATATGCCAAAAGATCCGCTTCTATCGGGTGCAGATCAACTGGAACCCGCCTCAATGGGACCCTGCACAACAGCCAAAGCAGACACCACCCCAATTCCCAGTCCCTAGCTTCCGTTTCACGCACTCCAAGGTGGAAACGTCATGCACAGTGCCTGGGATGCCTCGGAATGACGGAGAAGAACCCGACATGATGCAGCAGTCGGTCTCAAATCCTTTATATAGCCTCAGTCGCCTGGATATAATTCTCCCGGCCTCCGATAACGCTGCTGGGACTACAGCGAACCCATGGATTGTTGCGGTTTTCTCAACCCCACCCCAGGCTACTCCAGATCATCCTGGCCCGCAAGGACCAGCAAGTGTAATTGTACGATGGCAATTGGATACTGCTACTTTCACCCTTCACCTCAAGTTTGATGAAATGGCCACAAAACGAAACAGTACTCAGATGAAGGTACGTGAAACATACCAGTACTTCATACAGACCGCGCTGACTCTTTGAACAGCCTAGACCTGTGCTGCGTCGCTTGGAAGACATCTACTCTGACCGCTATGTCATATCGGTGGACCAAATCGAGTACGGTAATGTGGTTGCTATCACTTACGATGATAGCTCCGTGTCTTTCTACGACCCGAAAACCATGGCATTGTTCAATGGTGTTGATGATGCGAATACGGTGACGGGCCTAGCTCAAGCAGGGTTTCACTATGCCCCAGACGCCTCAGGTTGTAGTGCTTCGTATTGTCGATCTGGAATTTTACTAACCGTGTTCTGATAGGTCAAGGTCAACACGTCTCTTTCTCACCGAGCGCATGCGCTGCAGTCATGCTAGACAACGACGGCCAGACGCACCTCAAGGTTATGGAGCATTCTTACGGAGCCGAAAACGGTCTTTACGATGAAAGTGCGTTTCTCCTTTCTACCAGCTCAACTATCTACTAATAAGGGTTTGAACTTGGCAGACAAATTTTCTGCAGCCATTGCATCACTCACATTAGCCTTCTGCCGCGGATGTGGAAGTGAGGTCAACACAGACGATATCCTCTTAATCTTAATACAGCAACTCTCACAGGGTACGTACCAACCTTCACCCCCGTCGATCATCAATTATAACACTTGCTACCAGATGCTCAAATCACGTTCATCAACGAAGTTTACCGCGCACTGCCCATCAACTGCAATTTCACAGTGGAGCAGGAAAAGCTGATGAACCACCCCTATATTCCCAAGTGCCTCAGTATACAAGCTGCTCTGGGATTTGCCGATAAGTACAAGCCACGAAGTTTTGCCTCTTCTGTCTCTTGGTCGATTCTTCAGCTTCGCCACGCCGCCATCTTATACCCATTTTTCTTTCAGTACAACAAAGGGATTCAGGCAGAGCCACATGATCCTGGTAAGTCAGTTCACATTGACCTTGACGGAAGCTGCTAACAGCATGGCCTCATATAGACGTCTTGCGTATGATGCTTGGAAACACCAGATGGGCACTTGACTTTTCTCTCTATATACTAAACGAGCTTTTCGACCTCGCCGATGAATTTGAAAGTGTATCGGCCGATCAGGAAGCCTTCAGCCAAAAATGTTGGTCAAATCCATACTCCGGAAACTGTCAACTGTACTAACGCCCTGTAGTGAAAACCACAAACTCGCTAGCTCTCATCATTCTCCTCTCAAGCATGTCCCGTGCTTTCTTGCGCTTTATCTGCCGTGGCTTGCGTGGCATCCACGCGGGCTATACGAACGCATCTCTAGCCGGTGACTCTCGTCTACAATACGCAGAAATTTGCCAAGCTTTAGATGCCACGCCTGCACGAATTGATGTATACGAAAAATTCCTTTCGGCGGTCGATTCGGCCGTACGACACGCCTACCATGGTGCCGGTTTTGGTGACACTGAACGTCCGGGGCCAGAGAAGGAATTGCTTGTCAACGCCCGCATTCCTCCTGTCCTCGTTGCAGCTGTCTCAACAATTCTTCGACAAACGGTACCGGGACTCAAGTCCGACGTCGACCGCATGGCCATCTACATGCACGACTACTCGTGGCTCGGGTTCGGATCCGACCGACGCTCGGAGTTATATCGGCGCACACGAGAAGTGGATATCATCAAGAAAACGCCTATCCGGATGACGATCGCACAAGGCTCGAATGGGCCCCAGCTTGGGAAACAGAACAGCCAGGGAGTCCTTCGACGGCGATGCGTCCGCTGCTGCGATGTATCTGAGGGGACTTATCCGCCACGCTCTGTCCTTGCGTTCCGCATGATATTCAAGTTGGGCCATTTACGATCGTGCATTTGTGGAGGAATGTGGACTCTTGAGTCAGGTCTGAACGAGGTGGGGAAGTAGAAAGGGCTTCGACCCTGGCGGTCGTTAGCAGTTGCTTTTTGGGTAGTTATGTTGATACCAAAAGGTTAGAATAGAATGATTAAGGCGTGTGGTATAATAGCGTATATAGATGCAAACACGAATGGACAAGTATTACGATGTCAATTGCCTCCACCGTTGACTGGATTCGTACATAGGCCGATAGTTGACACCCCACCAATACGTAGTACTGTCTGCACTTCGACTTCAAAGCCATATCCAATACTACCCGTTGTATAGGGGCAGTCATAAGATAGAACTACTACTCGATAGCCAAAAAAACCACTACACACGGAGACAAGAGAAATTGAATCATCTACTCCGCCAACTACCACGATACCAATAACATAAATCTTTATCTCATGTCATGTCAAGCAAGGCCTTCATTTAAAAACATCGATCTGCATCTTTTCTTTTTTTCTAAGATACATAATCGATTTCTTTTTTCAAAAGAAACCGTTTTGATGAATCCGACCCCCCTCACGGCAAGGTTAGGTCAACCCGTCATCATTAAACGACGTTCCCGTTAACTCCATCCAGATCCAGAGACGACCCCGTCTTTAACATTTAAGCCTGTTTAGATACCAGTTAGCTAACTGGCGCTTTCTACTTCCCCTCGAGGGGGGACTGATCCCGAATTCAGGTTATGTTGGGTGGGTCGTACCTTAACAGCGTACTTCCGCTGGGGGAAGTGGATCTCCTGCTTGCGCTTGCGCTCGGTCTTCAGGGTAGCCTCGTGCTTGGTGAGACGGCGGCGGAGAGCACGGGTGAGCTTGGGGCGGAGGTCAAGAGGAGTGTACTTCTTGTTCTTGTAGAACAAGCGGAGCTGAGCGCGCTGGTTGGCGTTGATGACGGTCAGAACGCGAGCGATCGACTTGCGAACGTCGTGGCTGTTTAAAAAGATGGTATATCAGCATCCTTGTTCTTCTTCTTTCTTTCCTGATTTTTTGTGCGCATGTGTGCCCATATTCTTCTCATGTAGGTGGTGGTGGTAGATATGTTGGATTTTGCGCCCTGTCGGAAAGTTTCTTCTCGGTTTGAATTTTTCTTTTTCTTGTTGTTCGTGGTCGTGTGCCCCTCGTTTCTTGTTGGTATGTCGATTTCATGGGTTTTTGTCGGGATTTGTCTTCTTGGTTGGTATTCGTCTTCCCATCTTTCGAATTGTCGAATATTGTTGTCGTTGTCCTTCCTCCGGCCGTAATCCACAATCCGACAGGTGCAAATCTCATATCCTTCCCACCACACACGCACACACAACGCACACACACACATAAGGGGTTCGCAGGAGATAATTCAAACGCACATTCTGTGGGTCTTCGAGGAGGCACCGCCAGCGATCTTCTGGACACGGAGCTGGCTCAGCTCGGTCTTCAATTCCTCCAGCTGCTTGGTGAGGTCATCCTTGCTCTTTCCCCAGAGCTGACCAGCCTTGACCTTGGACGACTTCAAATAAGAAAAACACCGGTCAGCATTTCACGCAGAAATCAAAAAACTGCGAAATAGCAGCATGCGGCGCAATTCAACATACCATGGTGGGCGGCTTCGTGTCGTATCGTACGGGTTGTCGACGTGAGGATTGAAGATGGACCGGGTCAATTTGGGATGTTCGTTGTGGGACTAGGGTTTGATTTTTTCTGGGTGTGCGGCGGCTTAAGCGGGCACGTGATTGTGGCTGGTGGTTGCCGTGGCCCAGTTGGGGTTTTTGGTTTTAGTAGTAAGTAGTAAGTACTGCCGCGCCCCCCCGGGATGACGCCGCCTCCGTCCGCCGCCCCGGCCGCCCTGACTTGGCCGTGCGATAGTGGGTTAGACTAAGGCTGGCTGTCGCTGCTGCTGCTACTGCTGTCGTTGTCGTCGTTGCTGTTGCTGTGCCGCCGGTCGGATCATGTTGCGTTGGTTATGACGGGGTTCATTTCTGAAGCTTGATTTACTCTCTTCGTTTTATATTTCCCACTTGACGGTGTCTTATCGTCGTTATCGGTGTCGTTGAATAACTTCCAGTCTCATTCTACTGCCTACACACACATCACTGGCACTTCCCTATCTACCTACCTACCTATATACACCCTCATATTGTCGTAATCCACCATCATCACCATGGCCACTTCAACCGGTACCGGCTGGGCTCAGCTCCGGCAGCAAGCCCGATCTCTCGAGACTCAGGTACGATCATCGCTTCCTGTCACATAAGATGTGTCCTATCCTAACAATATACATACATCATAGACCGAGAACCTTTTCCACACATACTCGCAATACGCCTCATTAACAAAGCTCCCTCCCACACCCTCGGAGGAAGAGCAACGGATTGAATCGCAGCTCAAAGACCTCCTAGAACGAGTACGCATCTACTCTCTCATCACCATCACCATCTCACTACTTCATAACGTCACATCAACTAACTATTAAATCAATCACTAGCGCGACTCCCTAATCTCCCAACTCGCCCGCCTCCTCGACTCCGAAGCAACCCTCACCTCCTCCGCCCTCAAACAAAACAACCTCTCCCGTCACCGCGAAGTCCTCCACGACCACCGTCGCGAACTCCAGCGTCTCAAATCCGCCATCGCCGAGTCCCGCGACCGCGCTAACCTCCTCTCCAACGTTCGCTCCGATATCGATGCCTACCGCAACTCGAACCCGGGTCAAGCGGAAGCAGATTACATGCTTGAAGAGCGGGGTCGGATTGACGAAAGCCATAATATGATTGATGGGGTGCTGAGTCAGGCGTATGCTATTAATGAGAATTTTGGTCTCCAGCGGGAGACGCTGGCGAGTATTAATCGACGCATTGTGGGCGCGGCGAACTCGGTGCCCGGGATGAATGCGTTGATTGGGAAGATTGGCTCGAAGAGGAGACGAGATGCGTTGATTTTGGGGGCTTTTATTGGGTTTTGCTTTTTGATGTTGCTTTGGTTGAGGTGATTGCTTGATTCTGTTTTGCTTTGTCTGAAGCATGTTGCCATCCTGTTTGTGGTTGCTGCTTGCGTTGTCTATTGTGGGTTTGGGATGGGCGTTTGGAGGAGTGAGATTTGTCTCTTTTTTTTCTTCTCTATCCTTTCCTTTGTCTATGCGCTGTTTTTGCGTCTATACTATACAGAGATTAATGGTGGGGGGAGATTTGTTTCCTGGTGTCGGGTCAGTGCTGTCTGGAGCATATTCCACGCTCTCACTCAACACTCACGCAAACACCCTGGTATGTACATACACAGAGTCCAGAATCCAGTATATAAACTGGGTGATCCCGTACCTGTCCAGCCATCCATGGCACACCAAACCCATCTAGGGCATAACAACCCGAGGCTTCTTCACAGCCTCACCCCGACCCTTCGCACCATCCCACTCCTGCGCCGGCATCTCCGACTGCAAACTGACCTTCTTCTCCTGCACCAACTTGCGCACCCCATTATTCAGCGCCTCCAACTCCACCGTCTCAGCAGGCCCACTGCCCGCCCACCGAATGCGACAATTCTCATCCAACAAATACACATACCCGACCTTCGAGTTCAACATCCCAATACTCTCCTTCAACCCATCATCCAACCCCTTTCGCACCAGGAAATACCGCTCATGCTGCTCCTCCGGCAACTTGGCCCGCATACGCCACATGAACATCTTCACCAACCCGGCCTTCAACGCATTCTCCTCCAGGTTGATATCCACCTTCTGCACCATTCCATCTCCCTCTGAGGCAATCGCCTCCCAAAGACCAGGGTTCTGCTCCTTGCCCGTGAAAGTAACGACCTGCGACTCGGCCCACACGCTAGAGAAGAGGTTCACGATTGTAATCTTTCCGCGGAAGAGAGTGGTCGTGTTCTGGGGTTCCTTTGGCGAGGCGAGAGTAATGCCGTGCATGTTAGGGAAGTAGAGGGCTTTGTCGCGCTTGAAGAGCCGCGGGTTCGACATGAAGGTTTTGCCTTCGTGGTAACGCATGTTCGACCATTCGCGGAAGTAGGGCTTTGCGACCTGTCGGGTTCTGGTAGTTTTATCATCGAGGTTTTAGTATTAGAGCTTGCATAAAAAACGTAATAGGCTCTGGAAATGGAATGGTGTGACGTACAGTTCTTTCCGCCGCTCAAGATGTCTCTCGTAGTTCACGAAATCATCTCTCCTCTGTCGTATAGACCGGTCATCGACACCCGTGTTCTGCCCTTCTTGTGGTGGGATCACCGATCCAATAGGTCTGTCCAGCGTCGGAGGTATGAAGTCGTCATCGCCGGGCTCGCTAGTCGGGGAGGGGACTTTGGATGCTGTCGCTGAGTAGTTTGCTTGGAATTGAGCTACTCTGTTGGTTTTGTTCGCGAGAGATGAGATCGGGGAGGGTGTCGTCGGCTTGGTTTCACTGCTGTTGCTGGTGGTGTCGGGTTTGCTGGCGTAGTAACGCAGCGCAGCGGTTCGGGGCCGGAGAGCGGCCGCATTGCGCAATTGGCAGCTGAGGCAACGACTGCTCTGGAGGAGCGTCGGCTCAGTTAATGAGGCTAGAAGCCCTGTGCGCTTCCACATTGTTGGAGGTAGTAGTATCTGTGGGGAAGTAATTGAGGTGGGTTGGTTGGTTGGTTGGTTGAATGTTCGGCAGACTCTCTTCACTGGACTATCACTGATAATTGTTGCTGGAGATCCACTCGCCGAACAGGCCGAGTTTAATTGGCGGTCCCGTGACTTGGCGACATTTTCGTGACGGAGTATCACGCGTCACTGATGGGATTCGTGTCACTCGGAAATAGATTGATTTGAACAATCTGACGCCGGGTTGGATGGATGGATTGTCTGACTGCATGAGCTCTGTATTCATGGCTGCTTCCGTCAGATGATATTGTTACCTGCTAGGCAGCAGTGACGCAAGAACTCATGGCTCGCCGGATTTTGAGTCTCGGGACCTTCCACTTCACTATACCATGGAGACGATGGTGAAGGACAAGGAGGCCTTTTTCAGGGAATTAGAGCGGCTGGAATATCCAAGTGATGGTGAAAATGAGGATTTCAGCAGTCTGGTGCATCTCTCAAGGAAGCGCTGTGAATGCTCTCCGTCTATCTCATTCACTCCGGCCTCAGACATAAAGGCTCCCGCGGCGCCACCGTCGGTGAGAGCTTCTACGGAGCCTTTACTTGCTTCTTCAGGTATATCTGAGGTCAGCACTGAAAAGGAAGTTGTTACTACGTCTGAACAATCACCAACACCAGCTGTGACCAGATCAACCTCTACAGACGTGATGCCGCGGAAAGCCAAGACTACACGTGGTGGCAGATATAAAAGAAAGGGACGTGGGTTTAGGGCCTTTGATATTCCCGAACACCGGAAGATACTCAAGGGTCTCGTCTTCTGTCAGTACTATAACCTCGGATGTGTACCTCTAAGCGTTCAGTGACACTAATTCGAAGGAGTAGACTACCTCCCAAACGACGACAGAACAACACTTAGAAAGCTCCAAATGCAGCGTGCGCGTGAATACGGTGCCTCGCGAGCAAGGGAATGGAATGACACCATCACTCATGTCGTTGTAGAAAGGTGGTACACGTACGAGAATGTCATGAAACATTTCAAGAATAAGCCCATCCCGGTAGGTTTAGGAACTCATGCATTGTCTAGTCTGATACTAATGTCTTTTGAAGGAAAACGTTGCTCTCGTGGACAGTAACTATCCTCTCCTATGTATTGGGGCCCGCCAAATCTTGGACGCGACTCAAACTCGCTTTCGGGTCCGTGGCGCACCTGTTCCTGGGAAGGCTAAAGAATCCTCGCCTGCGCGTGAGCCCTCGTCAAACGGGTCGTTGCCGATAAAGCCAGCGAAGGCGAAACGCGGTTACATTGATACACAGAGCACCGATGACGAAGCTGACACTGAGCTGTTCGAACCGGAGGTCGACGAACACCTGGAAGATGAACAGATCATCGATAAATTGAACCAGGGTCGCGATGCTTTGGATGATGTGATCGAGGAAGTCCAGGCAATAAAGGACCTGGTAATTTCCTCCCACTGCGTACATCTCAAAGCCTTAGACTGACAAATGACGTAGCCCATAGGGATAGATTCAGCCGACGAGGCAGCAGCAGCCGATGACGACGAGACCTCCGACTCATCAGACGCCGGGCCAGCGAAGAAGAAGCGAAACGCTATCGAAAAAGACGACTGGCAACAGAACTTCGTTTGCATGCAGAAGCACGACGCACAATCAAACTCGGAGAACCCCAACAGCAACACCATAGCCATCCTCCAGCAAATGCTAGATTTCTACAAGCGAACAAACGACCAGTGGCGCGTCCTAGCCTACCGCAAAGCCATCAGCGCTCTCCGCCGACAACCGCGTAAAATCAGCACCAGATTAGAAGCCCTAGCCATCCCAGGAATCGGAGAGCGCATCGCCAACAAAATCGAAGAAATCGTCTCCACCAACCACCTCCGCCAGCTCGAATATGCCACCAACAGCCGCGAAGACAAAATCCTCAAACTCTTCACCGGCATCTACGGCGTCGGCATCACCCAAGCATCCATATGGCTAGCCGAAGGCTACAAAACCCTCGGAGACCTGAGACTCAAAATCAAATTGACCCACAACCAGCGTGTCGGCATAGACCACTATCGCGACTTCGCCCAACGCATCCCTCGATCCGAAGTCGAAGAACACGGCGAAATCGTCCGCAAAGCAGTCCAATCAGCCGACCCAGACATGCAAGTCATCATCGCGGGCTCCTATCGCCGCGGTGCCCCAGACTGCGGTGACATCGACCTCCTAATCACCAAGCCCGACGCCGAGATCGACTACATCAGAACCGTGATGATGAGAACCGTACTTCCGACGCTGCGTAAGCAAGATTTTATAAAGACCGATCTGGCCAGCTCATCATCCCGAGACGGGTCCAAATGGCACGGTGCATGTGCCATACCACCACCACCACCACCCAAGAGCGACAACAAATGGGAAAATTATTTTACACCTACCCGCCCCTGGCGACGCATCGACCTCCTATTCGTCCCCGACGCAGAGATCGGAGCCGCACTGATCTATTTCACCGGCAACGACATCTTCAATCGAAGCATGAGACTACTAGCAAGCAAAAAGGGCATGCGGCTCAATCAACGAGGTCTCTACACGGACGTGCTACGCGGTCCTCAACGCGAAAAAATTAATGAGGGCCGACTACTCGAGGGCCACGATGAGCGTCGCATCTTTGATATTCTGGGTGTGCCTTGGCGCCCTCCGGAGCATCGCATTTGCTGATTGATGCGTGGGTGAGTGGGTGGGTGGGTGGCTGTGGCTGCCACTTGACGGGTGACAGATAACATTTCTCGGAGTTGTCGGGAAGGGTTCTGCTATTTTGCAGGTTGCGTTTTGGTTGGGGGGGATCTTTCGCCAGACCGACTTCTCGGTGTGCGTCAGATGCGTGCAGGCAGGGAAGGGCGGCTGCCGCGAGGAGGGCCTGAAATGAAAATTCCCGCGTTGAGAGGTGAGATGAGATGAGATGATGAAGGTTTGAGGGGGAGGGAAGGGGAGTATGGGGGTGCCAAATTGGTAGATGGATTGGCGAGTGTAACTACCACTACTGGTACTACTTGGGTATGTGAGTGTGTGTTTGTGGCATACGTTGGTATTGTTCTTCTGGGGGAGGTTTTGCTTGCTTATTGTCCGGGGGGGAAAGAGAGTGGGGGAGTGCGGTGAAAAGGCGGTCACGATCACTATCACTATCACTATCTCTTGGGAGTGCAACGATTCTTGGAAGCTTGATCAAACGTCGGTTGCGCCAAGGGGTAGCACAAAAATTATCTAGGCAAGAATTATATCCTACTGAATCGAACGAGCCTTTCCAGTTGCCGAACATGGTGGAAGGATAGGTGGCAGGATTCCGGATGAAGTAGTAAGTAGCTATTGGCCTGGATGATTCATGCTTCCGGTAGATGATTATGCAGGATAGAATGAATAGAGCTTATTGCTACAAAAGCTGTCATTATTATATCTAATTTGAGCATCTTCAATAGGACGAGATAGATATTAAAGGACGGTTTCCAATCTACTAGAGCCACATATTCCTGTCCTTATATATACCTACTAGTAGTATGCAATCTAACAGCCAGCAATCCAACCATGCTTGGGGGGTCTGGGTCTTGAAGATAGACCAGCATTAACTGGACTTAGCATATATCTCGGTCACACTTGTCGAAGGGGATATCAGGCCCAAAAGAAAAAAAGAAAGTTCAGATACCCGAAACAATGTGTGGGGTAACTGGGAGAAAGGATGCTGATATCAAGTAGTTATGTTGTCATTGCCGTTAGGTTCCTCCCATGCGCTTGAGTGTGAAGGATAGCTCCCGAAATGCTTTTAGAAACAGGCCATTTGCCTCGTCGCTCGAGCCAATAGGTGCCCAACAAAGAATGCAGTCATATTCTTTCGAATTTGAATCAGACATTATAGCGAAGCCAGCCAAGCTATAACCACCTTGCACGAAGGCTTCCGGGAGCAGAATCTGATTATCTGCGGGCAAAGAGTGCTGGAGGTCATGTTAGCTGGTATTCGGGATATAGTTATCAATTGCACGAATGACGAGATATGAATGATCGAGGGGTAGGCAGTTAGCCTTGGATGAGTACGTAGCTGGTGGTCTGTAGAGTAAGTGATCTGATGGTGTGGAATAGGGTTTCCGTAATTGATGCTCTCAATAATCTCGGCGGGAGATGAGTAGGAATGATTGAGTGATTTTCTTTTTCTTCTTTCTTGGCTGCGGGTTTTCTCCATCTTATAGTTGTTCTCAGACGGCTTCGTTGCTTATGAGACATCTATTATCTAATAATTAGGGAAAGTGATGATGCAGAGCATGAGATAATTCGATTATATCCATAAGAGTAATCATTTTGTCATCTTCTCCGGCAGCGGAGATGCTATCGGAAGAAATCGCTCATCGGTGATAGTGGCAGGTAGTAGGAGAGGCTGCAGGCTGCTGCATGCAACTATGGAAGTATGCCTAACTCGGCAATAGAGCTAGTAAGGTAGGAATGGGATGGAATGGAATATGTGAGGAACATCATATAGGGAGAATTCAAGAAATCTAGTCAGTTCACATCTTCTGCGATGACTACTAAAGAAAAGTTAGAGTCTGGCGGATACCATGGTTGTAATAAATACAAGGGGTAAAAATGACTATTTATGGTAGATGTTGAGATAGATGGAGATATGATAAACTAAGACATGATGAAAGAGAGAGCGGTCAGGAAGTGTTTCACAGTGGGGCCACAGGTTTCCAGCTAAAGTTCTTTCGACAGGTATCAAAGGTAAAAACCCAAGTCGAGTATCACAAGAGCCGATGCAAGCCTGGCTGATCATGTCCACTTTATAGGCTGGGAGCCCTGCCACACCGCTGAAGGTGCACATAATCATCATGCTGTATATACCATACATAGATTATGGCCGCCGCGCCAGAAACGGAGCTGACATGTCCGTTTGGCCTTTCTAGACAATTGTTCAATGCATTTAGTCATTTAGTCCCAAAAGATAGGAATGTATCTAACACCAGTCACCGATCTCATCACCGCCTTTCATGCGGTGAGGCGCATCCCAACCGAAACCCGTGACGGAGCAGGCGGCCAGTGACAGACCGCCCGTAGAAAAGTCGTGGTTTTGCCGCTGCTTGCTCCAGATTTCCCCTTCATCCCACTCCCTCTGCTGCGCTGCCTCATTCTACTCTCGATCATTGCCTGCATTTCTGGCACTATTCCTCCCCTGGATCCTTCAGTTACCCTTAGCCCATCCACTCCCATCTCTTCAAACCTGGTGCGGCACCTTCCGAACGGCGTGGTGGGTTCTGCCGGTCGGTGTTGTGGCCAAGCTGCTATTTTGCCATCCGTTTCTCTCTCACCCCTCGTCTTCTCGAGACCCTGTGTGCGTCACTGTCTCACGGCTCCAGCGTGCGCGCTGTGCCTTTCTGACCCGGTAGATCTGTCGCTTACAATATCTTTACAGTGCTCTTTAACGCGCAGTTCCTTGCTCGAGTCATCCCCCCATTTTATTGTGTTAATCCCCGGTCCCTCCTTGCCGAGTGCCCGCCCGGCCACACACTTTCCCTCTCAATGGGTCGCAAACCGAACCAACTCATCCTCGAGTTCTTTATTCGAGGTCAGAAACTCGAGGACGCCAGTAATCGCTACCAGCACACGTGCAAGGCCTGCGGAGAGAAATTTCCCAAGGGTCGCATCGACAGCTTGACCAACCATCTCGTGAAGAAGTGTCAAGCCATCCCGTTGCGCGATCGGCAACGCGTCTTGTTGCGACTTCACGAACTTCCCGATCTCGCCGATGGTGACCAGAACAAGGATGTGACGAGTAAGGGCAAATCGGTGGATCTGCCCTTCACTACACGCCAGAATTTCGATGGCCTCAATGTTTTGGCCGAGGCATCGCGCCAGGTTGGTGCGTCCGACCAGACGAAACGGGGCCCTGCATACACTCAGTCGGTGACAGTTGGGGGGAAGACCGTGGTCGTCGACCCGGCCCTCGAGGCTGAAGGCTTTCAAGGTCATCCTACACAGCCGGATCAGGTTGAAGAAGATGCGAACAACGCTCCAGGTAAGTCTGTGTTGTGACCCTACCTTCACTCCAGCTCCATTCACTCATCCCGCTTCCTTTGTCTATCTGCGGCGCGCTAATGCTTATAATCTCTCTCAAGGCACTCCTCAAGGTTCCAACGCCTCTTCTGTACCTTCCCTGCCTAGTTCCTCTCAAGATCAGCCGCAAGCCGCAGCCGCATCCCCCCCGTTGCCAGACGTTTCGTTGACTCCGGACCCCACCTCCAATGCGCGCCAGTCGCAACTGTCCATGATTGCTGCTTCCGCTAGTGAGATGGTGCCCCACGGTCTCCCAATGGATCACGATGCTGGTCTTACCGATGGTATGCCTAAGATGAGTCCCTCGTGGAACCAGCAGCTGTCCACTCAGGAGCAGCTTCTCTTCGACAGCCTTCACGAACATGATCCCACTCTCACTGCAGCCACACAGCGCGCTGCTTCCTTCCCCCGTCCTATTGCTATGAACCCCAACTCTCAGGCCAAGGGCTTCGTGAACGAATTTGGCAACTCTACCAAGCCTACCAAGCCGAAAGTGCGCGGTCGCTTCTCCGCTGCCCGACGCCGAGAGGTTCAGGAAGTTCGCAAGCGGGGCGCATGTATTCGTTGTCGCATGCTGAAGAAACCTGTAAGTTGGATGCCCTCTAGTCTTGAATATGCTTTTTTAACAAGTCCTGCCTCTAGTGCTCCGGTGACAGCCCGTGTACCACCTGCGCCAGTGTCGAGAGCGCCCGCTTGTGGAAGCACCCGTGCATTCGCACGCGCATTGCCGAAGAATTCGAGCTGTACAATGCAAGTATGTAACTTGGCCTTGGTGCTGGTTGTCACACGCACTAACCACCGCAGATTTGCACGCTACCCTTGCCTACCACGATGTGAGCGGTATCCGCAATCAAATAAAATTCGAACACTACGCTGGACGTATTGAGGTTACCCACTTTGAGGAGAGCATGGTCTACGTTACCTTCAGCGGACTCCAGGGCCACAAGGCACCCGCATCGACGCTTGACCCTCAGCTCCAGGCTCTGGGAGATGAAACACAATTCCAGGGCCCTCTTCACGAGCTGTATCTGCTGGACAGTGATGCAGATGATCTTCCTGGAAAGATCGAGATGTACATCAAGAAGACTGCGCCGTTCTTCTACGAGCGGGAGGCTTCGGACTTCATGCGACCAACTTTGTTGCTTGCAGCGGAGCTAAGCCAGCAGAAAAAGGTATGTTCCTCCCTTGACTCGCCGGAAAGCCAGCAGTGTTGGCTGACTTGTTCAGGACGTGTTGCTCGAACGGGTGCTGGAACTCTGGATTGCCACTCATATTCTGGCCGATGGGGAATTGCAGTGGAAGACTTTCTGCAACCCAACTCTTCCTCCCACATCGATGCACTCTCTTGCACAGCCATCTGACGACGGCCGCACACCCATCGATAGTGTCACCAACAGCGAGTCGTACGAGCTCCTCTGCAGCCAGCTGCGGGCCGCAACCGAGAAACGCGCGTCACAGTTGAGCAAGTCGGTCATGAATGATCTCGAGCGGCGACTGCTTCAGCGCCAGCAGAGCGGCTGGTTCGAGACCTTCCTGGTTGCGCTTATTTTGTTGAACTGCGTGGAGCGGACGTGCTGGCTATTCCGGTCCTGGGACGACGAGAACTTTGCTCAGCGGGTAAGCTCACCGCCATGCTTCAAAGCGGTCTGTCTGTCCGTATACTAACTCGTTTCGCAGTGGCCTTTGGACAAGCGCCCACCATACTACGCCAATCAAGGCGATCGCTTCTCCGACATCCTGCACATGTTGTTGAAGATGCGTAGCCTTCCGCCCAAGGCTACTCCTCGACCAGATACCGGCATCCTAAAAGCCGTGGATGGTAGTGACGAGAACGCAGCTCGTTGGTTTGACATGATCAAAGTGACTCGTACGTACCCCATTAGGCCTCGAATCTCAATTGAATCACTGCTAATCACAAACAGCTCTCTTCCTTGAACAACGTCAAGCCACCGTTTTTGACCCTACTGACTCCCGCTCGCTCGACCTCCGCTACGGAGCCAAGCTCCTCCCCCCAACGAACGTCTACACCTAATCTTGCCTTGCTGCTTCTTCTAGGCTCTTCTGGTACTGGTTGACGAAACAGAAAGAATGCACAAAAAAACAAAGTAAACGACTTTGATGACAACAACAACAACATTAACAACAACAAGCTTCGAATTAAGCAGGCTTCTCTTTTCTTTGCCTCTGCACTATCACAATCTATGATTGACCTGTTGGCTCTAGTATATGGTGTAGATGGATGGGCGTGAGTGTAGGCGTGGGCATGGGCATGGGCATGCGAGGAAGCAAAAAGGAACGACAGGAAGGACGGACGGACGGACGGACGGAGAATGAATGCAGCGATTACGTGTGTGTTGTGTTTCTTCTTTCCAAAATTTAAACCCCCCCTTGTAGTAATGTAACCGAACGAAATCCATACCTGTGTTTGATTTCACGCCTGAGGCACTTGCTGTAAACCAATATAAGTATCCCGAGAATCATCATGATGTCCAGATTGGTTTAGACGCTCACTACATATGACAGACAGCTTTAGTTAGCTGTCTACTATCTATACA